ATAATCGCACCCCTTTCTATCAGCAAACATGTGGTTCGCTTCGTCATTGCCGGAATGGCCGGCGCTACTCTACATACCAAAACATGCACATATTACCTGAGTTTGGATTGTCCATTGCTAGAAGGGCACTCACAGATCGTGTTACGGAACTCACTCGTCCCGTTCTGCCTTAGGGCTCTCTCTCAAACCCAACCAGCAGCGGCACAACATCACATGACATAGCAGAATGACATTACCTACAAGACAAGGGAGACCGGAGTGACCATTCGCGACTGATTAGTCGTCGTAAGCCAGCCATACTTAACACCGATGTGTGGAAAATCTGGGCTGAATTCAGCTACCTGTTGGTTATAAGTCCAACGCCCCTAACCACTGAGCCAGGAACTCGTTGTTCTGTCGGTTGCGATCGGGAATATACCATAATAGAGGAGCGCTCACCGACCGTGTTACGGAACTCATTCGTTCCATTGGGCATTGGGGCTCTCTCGCGATTCTTTTGATGTATCCTGACACAAATATTGGTGGTCTGGTCGTGTATGGCACACGTACTCGGGTCACCTTATTCTGTCGGCCACTGCGCCCGATTTACTCAATAGCAAAATGACAGGCCGGGATGGTCGACCTGTGCGTGCGAGAGGCGAGATGGAATGAAGCAAATCAGCCCATTCCTCCCTGTGATTAATGTGGCGCGCTTGAATCTGCCACCGCATGTTAAAACTCGTAGCTTTGAAGAAAGCCGCGTAAGGGGACATTTCAGTTGTTATGCTCAGTATGATGCGTGTCCGTGCAGGCTTACTGGTTGACCGAAATTCAAGCTTAATGGTCCTTTCTTAATGCGGCATCCAAGCACTCTCACACACGACAGACAAGAGCCACCATTTTGCGACGGTCTGGCAACCCGGAGGGTGGAATAAGTCGTGTGCACTGGCGCAGACGGGTACCTTTGTTCTGTCAGTCTCTGGGATCACATCCACTCCCAGTCGTCTCGAAATCGTCGCGCAACCGGATGCCGGTGGGTGAGTGATGTGCGAGTGCGGTTGATAGAACGAGAGGCCGAGTTGCTACAAATATTTCAACTTCAAGCCACATGTGCTGCACTCACTAGGTATGGCGAACGGGGCCCGTCAGTGCCAGCGGCGGTCTGACTGCTGGGATCCTGATCAGAATGTTCGTTCAAAAAATTTATTCTAGACATTTACAGATCTTGGCAAGATTGAGTGACCGCAGGCTCAGGTGCGACATCCTTCAAGATATGAGTGTGTTCGCATTCAGGTTGATTGTTGTAGTCCTGTGAAGAAGTCATCGAAGTGCAGGGCACAGTCCGGATCACCAAAGCCCCGTGGGTCTGCATTAGATTTCCTGAGATCTATTCGTACTCTACGGGAAATAGTTTAGGCGCATCAAGGCAGCATTCTTATGATAAGAATCTTTGGCTCCTCTCACCATTTGCCTTCCCTCTATGAACCATCTTTAGCAGCTTACAGTCCTTTTCAGCCAGGATCGCCATGATAGGTACATTTACATTTTACTTGCGAACTAATTCCTTATCAATGTTTTCCTTTTCAGCCAGGAGCGCCATGATAGGTACATTTACATTTTACTTGCGAACTAATTCCTTATCAATGTTTACGAAGCAGCCGTCAATTGCGAAGAGAACACTGGTCGTCCTTCTGGCCGCACTGTCACACTGGAAGGTGGGATCTCGGCCGGGCAACATGGCAAGAATTAAGAAGAGTCGCTACTTTCCAAGTCTTTTTCGGAGACCGTGCAATATAATGTGAATTGGGGTGAATGGGTCCATTTATTCGCACGTCAAAATCTTCCTAGTTATCAGAGTTTTGATTACTGGTGCTGTGGTCTCTACGTCTTATAGAACACAAAGTTTTCGTGCTAAGTCAGCCTCTCAGGCCATGGCCCAAGTTACGCGTTCTGCACGTCCTTGGTCCTTGCACCAATGCGCAGTAGAAGGCTGCAACTGTTGAGTGTCTATCTGCAGACATTTTGAAATATGCAGCAGATCGCAGGAATCACTTCGCAGAAACCCATGAAGGAAAAGCTACATTATTTGACGTCGTTCTACTGTGAGACTGAATTTCAGGTTTTACTTTCTGACTATGCCCTGTTGTGGACTAAACTTAAGACTATTCAGTTGCGCAATACTTCACTCAGCTGCTTCACCAGCAGAACTAAAAACGTTTTAAAACCAGCCTCGAGATAGTTTATTATGGTGGTTACAAATGGATGCATTTTGAAATAAAGAACAAGGAGCAAGTCCAAGACCGTGCTTCATTGATAAACTAGAATAAGTTCCACTATTCTGCCACGAGACACGCATTCAAGGTGACTATTTGGACATTCTCACAGAGGTAGGCAAAATAATTCTGCCAACCAGTCTCCTGAAATTTGCATAACAGATCGGCAGGTGCCTTTCAAAATGTTAATAGCATGGAATGGGACTTGCCTTACTTTCCTGTATTGACAGAGGATCTCACACAATTCCGGTCGAGACTGAGCTATGCAAGGTTGGCAGCAGAGTGCAGGTAGTTGGTCAAAGTCCGCGTTTTACATGCGATGTACTGTCACCGTTACAGTGTCTGGTTGAGAGTGGATAACTCAAACGAGGCCGCCAAAAACCGATTGCCGCTGAAATACTAACCATTCAATTCTGAGGAAATTTTTATCTGTTACTATGCGTCACATTTTCCGCAGTACTTAAGGCTTACGAAAAACATAAGAAGAGGAATAGATATTTCGCAACAACAGAAGAACCCTCTTTACTATTATGTGAAACAGTAGGTAAATGCGTGTGTAAGACTGAAAGGTTCACTTTTCAAGTCTTCATTCTACGGTTGTTCCCGCTCTTGTAGGAGTTATAGGGTCAACTATTTACAATGCGACGATTCCAGTGAGAAGTTCGGATTCAGGACTCGTTGCCGGTAGGACTCTCGCCTTCGTGGGACACTGAAGGTAAAACACAACATCGGTTAATAAGTACCTCCACTTTCAAAAGCGACTACGTTCGTAGTATGTCGCTTCCGGCATGAAAATGTAAATATAACGGTGCTAAACGACGAAATACTGTGAAAGTTATTACTTTTAGATGGATGAACTTGAAAGAACAAACATTCTGCTTGGACTTGAGTGGACAGACATGACAAGAAGTGTTGTGGATAATGTGAACAGGAAAAAGGTAGAGTCGCAATTTCAGATGTAAAGTCTGGATTAGTAGAACAAGAGAAGACGGCAAAACTTAAAATTCAGGTACAT